CTAACGGTGGGGTAGAAACATGTATCTTTCCCCGTCACCACTACTACGGAAGACATAATGTGAGTAATGTTATGTTCAGGGCAGTACAGATATTAATAGTTGAGTGTCCCATGGTGGCATTAGCAAAGAGTCTCTTAAAACAACTGTAACTCTACTGATAAGCAATACCACTGATAAATTTTAAAAATTAAAGAGAATTAAAGTTACTTCAAAATGCCCCATGGTGTATCAGCTTTTATAGCCACCTGGCATTTGTTCTTTAACTAACATGACTCAAACAAGAACACTTTTGAGGGACTATGGTAACAAAACAAGTCATCATCTGAAACTATCCAAAACCACAATGAGATACCACCTTACCCCTGTCAGAATGGCCATTATTCTCTTTCATTTTGATAGACACTACAGTGATTATATAAGGTGAACCTTATCTATAATAATAAATAAAAGAAAAAAGAAAAACAAATGTGAGTCCTTTGTAGTTAACATTAGAAATCATTGCTCTGATCACAGTATTCCTTTTCTAGTATTTAAGAGCCCATTTTGCAGGTTAATTCAGTCCAATTGCGTGAGAATAACTTGGATTATATATTTTTAGTTGTCCAGCTAATTTCTTTCTATTTTTTTAGTAGAGACGGGGTCTTGCTCTTGCTCAGGCTAGTCTCGAACTCCTGAGCTCAAATGATCCACCCACCTCGGCCTCCCAGAGTGCTAGGATTACAGGTGTGAGCCACCATGCCCGGCCTACATTATCTTTTAATTCACATTTTTCCCTGCACTTTTAAAATGAGCTATTTCTAACTCAAGGATAGTCTTCCTATAGTCTCTTTTTGTTATTCCTTTCCCTAGTTTTTCAATTTTTTATTATCTATTTGCCATTACGTTATCATTATTGCTTCTATCATCAATCTTTTTCTTACTTCCAGACAAGCTACATTATTCGATATTATTTAATCTAAATTGATGATGCTTCTTACTAGTCTTACCAAATATAACAGTTCAGAGAAGAAAAGACTCTAGTTTTGATTCCTTTGTAATTCAGTTAGCTTTGTTAAAAAGGGAAAACATCTTACATTGATTAGCTTGGGCTCCTAATTCCAGCCACCATTCCATAAAGAGGAAATTTATTAAATTATTGTGATATTAATTAGGCAGCTTTATCTCTCAATTGCAAAATCATTCTCAATTTTACAAGATTTAGAGTAATATAATAACATATCTCATGGGGGTGCTTTGAAATTAATGAAATAAGAGGAAGCAACGTTGCATAGAGTTTAAATCAGAGGTTCTGTCTAGATTCAGGTGGCTTAGGGGAACCTGCGGCCTTGGGGCCACATATGGCCTTCTGGATCCTTGAGTGCAGCTTTTTGACAGAATCCAAATTTTATGGAACAAATCCTTTTATTAAAAGGAGTGTAGCACAGAAAGATGAAGCTCTTCTTGCCTCCTTTGGTGCTTAAAAAAGAACAATCTTGAAATCAGAAGGCCGCAGGTTCCCCACCCCTGGTAGGCCGCATGATCTCGGCAAGTCACAAATATGTTTTTGCCTTAGTTGCCTCATTTATAAAGATTTTAATGACATCTATATCCAATGAGATAATGAACGTAATTGATAATTCATACATTATAATATATGAAAGTTTATTTATTGATAAATGATAGCTCAATAAATGATAGTTGCTATTTTTTCATAATAATAACAGTAATAATTACTTCTCTGAGTTGAAATCTTAAAAATACTATCTGCTTTTTTCAACTTTTAAAAAATAGAGTAAAAAAATGGGAATTAGAGTTTCTAGGCAGTACCTTATAGATTTTACTTTACAAACAAGCAAATCCAATCAGTGTTACTTGTGTGTGGAAAAGAGTAATCAATTTTTTTTTCTAAAAAATTAGAGTAACTAGTAAATACTTGAAGGAGATGTAATTTTCAAATATCACTCCCCCAGAAATTGTTGTCATCAGATGAGTTCTCCAAAGTATGTGGAAAATTCAGAAAGGGAAAGAGGAAACCCAAAGAGCAAAGATACTCTCCTGCTGAAATTCCCCATCCCAAAAACGCCAAGAGAAGCCTCTCTAGTGAATTTGCTAACTGTGAAGAACAGCCTGGGCCCCCTGTGGATCCCTGGGTCCTTCAAACACTTGGGTTAAAAGACCTCAACACCATTGATGACACCTTGTCAGCTAACTACAGTGCCTTCTCCTCTCATCCCAGAAGAGTCACCAGCGCGTTTTCTCAGTATCCAGATGATGCAGCTGATTATGAAAATGTCCCCAGAGAAGATCTGCCAATTGACTGTGGAGGTGATGGAACAACCCCCTTACATAGCACTGCCACTCGTGGGGAAGATTTTCCCTTCCTTTCGCAACTTTCAAATCCCCCAGTGGGGCTGCAAAATCTTCCTTACTATACTGCTAACGTGTCACCCAACAAGACAGAGATGGCCTTTTCCACGTCCCTGAGCCCTCACTGTAATGTGAAAACTCATTCCTTCCACCAGGGACAAGCTTTTGTGCGTCGAGATGAGGAGGGAGGCTGGAAGTTTACCTGGGTCCCTAAGCAGTCTTAGTGATCCCTCTTCTATCACAAAGCACTGCCATGAACTCTGTTTACAAAGACCTCTCTTGCACTTGAACCTGACTAAGGTGGAACACAGAAGTTATTGCTTAGACTGTCTCCTGCCACTTTAAATGTCACTCCAATTACCCACTTAAATCTGCAGGGAATGGCTTCCAAGAATCCATAATGAAACATGTCTGCCCTTCCTTCACCTAAATTTGACTTGTTTACACACCAACACCTGCTGTTGACTTCCTTCCTTTGTCCTGTGCTAGAAAAGGTATTTTCCATTCACTTGTATATCCCTTCAAGACATAGATATATTTTCCCAATTACAACAATTTTAACAGCTCTTCTTCTTTCATCAAGCAGTTGAAATGTTCACAGCCCTTTTACTTTTCTCCGTCTCCTGCTCTTCATCTCTGAAAACTGCCTTTAGAATGAGCCCTATTATCGCATCAAGTACTCACTACTGAGTGTTCAAATAGCTAACGGTGGGGTAGAAACATGTATCTTTCCCCGTCACCACTACTACGGAAGACATAATGTGAGTAATGTTATGTTCAGGGCAGTACAGATATTAATAGTTGAGTGTCCCATGGTGGCATTAGCAAAGAGTCTCTTAAAACAACTGTAACTCTACTGATAAGCAATACCACTGATAAATTTTAAAAATTAAAGAGAATTAAAGTTACTTCAAAATGCCCCATGGTGTATCAGCTTTTATAGCCACCTGGCATTTGTTCTTTAACTAACATGACTCAAACAAGAACACTTTTGAGGGACTATGGTAACAAAACAAGTCATCATCTGAAACTATCCAAAACCACAATGAGATACCACCTTACCCCTGTCAGAATGGCCATTATTCTCTTTCATTTTGATAGACACTACAGTGATTATATAAGGTGAACCTTATCTATAATAATAAATAAAAGAAAAAAGAAAAACAAATGTGAGTCCTTTGTAGTTAACATTAGAAATCATTGCTCTGATCACAGTATTCCTTTTCTAGTATTTAAGAGCCCATTTTGCAGGTTAATTCAGTCCAATTGCGTGAGAATAACTTGGATCTAAAAATAGATGCATATTAATTTTTAATAAATATTCATAGATTGCAAATAATGACATCAAGGATTTAACTGTTTCTAAATTTTA